CATACCTAGGAATATAATGATCTGCCAATTCCATTATCATTTCTTTTTTTCTATTCTTCCTTCACTCCACCCCCACTACGTCATCACTATTCATACGTTTCCTTATTTTTCCTATCATAAAGCGCAAAGAAAATCATATTTTGAGGTCTTCTTATAATTTTCCTCATTTATTTATTCATTATATTTTTTGCAATAATGATAGTCGTCGAAGAAGTATTTGAAACATAATGACTTCTTGCACCAAGAACAACGAATGCGACTTGCAAGATTCACCGAATGCGAAATGGACAGGATTTTCGAATGCATCTGATTTGGTTTCTACGTAACCGCTTCTGTACCAAGCATATTTGAAGAGATTGACATATCGTGGTGACGACAATTGATTATGAGTTAGAGATTGCAACTTGATGACATTATTCTTTAAATGTAAATTCAAATCATAATCCATTAATATAATACTATCAGAGAAATGTCTTATGAAGTTTCATCATTACGGATAAATAAGAAATAAATTATTAGACGAATCAACACAGTCTCCTACCTGAAGTCAGTTTCTCAGATTTGGATACATCTACGTATACATTATCCGGACGAAACAGTCTTTCCTCTACTCTGGGACCGAAATGACCACTTGGTTCTTTCAAAACTAAAAAGACTGGCGAGAGGAGTTTCCCTTCGGCTGATATAGTTGGTTGAATAGTAAAACTGTATGTCGTCGATGTTAGGGATTGCACGACATATTGTACTTGTTTTTCACTTTCTTCAGCCAAAGTTCTGCCTGAATGCATTTCAAACTGAAATTCGCTTTGATCAGAATTATATATATTTGATAAACCGTACATTGCAATCCGTTGTTTCACATCCTGAACAAAGTGTTCTATTTTTCCTGTAGAACTTTCTGGTCTTCGATTGCTTTCGACGTAACAAATTTATTGATTTTCCTCGAGACTTTTGTTGATTAAGACTAATCCAAAGTCGTAAAACACAAATATTGCGGTTATTGGTATTGTTATATATAATTTTATTGTTTATACAATCATATCACATAAACGATTGCAGATAAGAAAAAATGCTTCAAACCAAAGACGGCTGACATGCAGTAATTCACATATCTGGCTTTGTATCGTTTTTCGCATATTACGATAGAGGAAGAGTTATCAGGGGAATAGCAAAGCGGACCGCGCCAGCATTTGTGCGAGGTGTCAACGCACATCGATACATTGATCAACAAACTTGATGGTGACAGACAGAAATGAATTAAATTAAAAATATTCTCATCAAATTAGTCATATAATTTTTTCTACAAATTTTTTCCCCACATCTAGCAGTTAATAAGACATTAACACTCTTCGGGTTCATGATAGGGAAAATTAGTTACAACGCTTTCGTTTATTATAATTTTGCGAGTAAGCGATCCGAGATACGAAAAAAAGTTCGCAGCAATATTGTGGCCCAAAAAGACGGTTATCCTACTTTGCATCAGCGTTCCACTTTGCCCCATCCCCCCCATTTCACCCTTTTTGAACCCAACCAACACCATTATTCATTACTTACTTCAAGAATTGTGATCGCCCAAGAAGTAATCCAATATTCAACTGGTAATGAACTAAGTTAAATTCGAGGTAGTTTACCCCCTACACCACTTTTTTTGAAAAAAGCGAATACCCGTATTTTTGACGTTTGCTGGTTCGTTTAATAGCCATTCGTACTATTAAAATACGGACGTTATTTTTTTTTCACAAAATTTTTTTGGATTTGAACCCCTATCATTTTTTTCGAATTGACCCTATTCAAATGCAACAAACGCCATTTTTCATCATTTTTCTTAAAGATTATCATGCATTTGGTTCCGTTCTAAAATTTTGAATGCCAATATATGAAACAGTCAAATGGTCCTGAAAACCTGTCAACTTCGGAGGTTGGTTTCACCCCTTAAAAATCTTTATCCGCAGAAAAAAAAACGTATATCTTAGATTTTGATAGGAAATAACATATTTTAAGCTCATCGAAATCGGTGAGGGACACTCGCGACCGTTTCTTTGTCAGCCGTGGGGGGTTGTCCAGGCGTTCATACAGGCCTTGAAGGCAGACAAGGTAGTCAATAGCGAGCTCTCCTGGCCCCTGGTTACGATTGCGGATGTCCTGTAACGAACATGTGGGGATGTCAGTTAGAAACACCACCGAGACCTGAGAATAACTTCCCTCACGATAGGAAAAGCCAATCCGTGGATAAATAATTAGAGTGAGAGAGAGAGAGAGATTTCTATTTCCCACTCTGGTGGAGATATTGGGATTTTTAAGCGAGTTTTTGAGTTGAAGTCGACCCATTTTGAATGGAGTTGAGTCTAGAGCTTCCCATTTCGATGGAGGATTTTGAGCATAGTTTTTCCCGTTAGGACGGAGAGTTTTAAGTCTAGCATTTCCCACTCCGGTGGAGAATTTTGAGTTTAGAATTCCCGCTACGGCGTGGTGAGTTTTTAGAGTTTTGGAATTTTGGGATTGGGTGTAGAGTATAACTTTTTTGGCAAGATTTGTTAATTACGCGTTTTTGAGGGCCCGTAAACTCATCGCGAAGAAGGACCAACATATCGAGTCATCCGGTTTCTTTATGGGGTCCATCCTATTGTTAATCTTACGGGAAATCGATCAGGTTCGGCTGAAATGCCGGCGCTCCAAATTACAATGGATTTTATGGGGATTAATTGGTTACGTTTTAGTTTTCGGTGGAAGGTCACGTGGTACATGTGCAACCCTTGTATCTAGTGAATTGCCAGATTGCTTTAGAGTTTTTGGAAAAATTAGGAGAATTAGTTAGGAATATCGGTCTTTTAACCCCGTGAATCCCGGAGAACCGATTCGTGGGAGGCGCCAAAAGCCCTTAGTAATTATCCGAACGTCCATCAGTTCGGTTCAGTTCATTTAAATTATTTATTAGCTGAGTTTTGTTAACTTAAAATGTTGGGAAATATTCATGTAGATTTTTGGATAGCTACGCCTTTGATCTCTCCGAATTAATTCGGTGGCTCCCCCGAGGTTTACACCTCTGAGGAGAAAACATCTCCACCAACCAGAGCGCAGCTCCATTGGTCGGAAGTCTCGCGGGCCCGGTGTATCGCAGCACTGACCTCCGAAATCAGTTTCGCGTTGACCGTCATCAATCAGTAGTCGCGTGTGAACTTCTGTGTGCCCACACGACGCAATTGTGCAACTCGGATTATTGTGCCTTTCGAAGAAGCTGTAAAGATTAAGTATGCTCCGAAAAGGGAAGAGGACCATTAAACATGGAAAAACAGTGAGTTTTCTGGAATTTTTCCCCTAATTTCGTGCCATTTCTGAATGGCGTCGTTTGCCCTCTATGGCGGTATCCCGCGCGTGGCCCTCAGCCACGTGCAGCGGTTGATCACCCGTTTTTTCTCATTTAGTGGTTCTGATTTGGCATTTTTTTGGGCATTATCCCTTATCCCGGATTTTTATCCGCGTGTTCCTCCGATTTTCGGATCGGCTATTTCACCCAAATCGTCGGTGCTGAGTTCTCGCACCTTCCGGATCATCCCGATCATCTTTTGAGATGATTTTCGGGTTCAGTCAGTGTGTTTGGTCGGTAGTGAAATTCCTACGTTTTTCCCCAGTCGAAATCTGACGATTTTCGACTTGGGCTATTTCCTTCTCCCTCGCTCCTAGGGCGAGGAGGATCTCTATTTCATCCTACGTAAAGATTGCGTGGAGTTTTTCCCCGCTGACGCGTTTAAATTTCCCTCCGGATGTAAATTAATCCGGAGTAGTTCCCAATGATCCCAAAATTACAATTTTGGTTTCATGGGCTTTGCGAGACCTTCCCGAGCTATGTAGTTTTGGGTTTTTGAAAATTGACTCTACCGATTTTCCTCTACGGCGAGTTTAATTTTAGTTAATTTTTATTTCCTTCCGCCATACGTTATACGTATACTGGCGAGTTCATTTCCTCGCTCTCTCACTCTCACGGGGATTCGCATACCTTTCCCCTCATTTCTCGGCATTCTCGAGTATTTCGAGATTAATCGATAATTTTTTTTTTTTATATTACCGTGTGAGGAATTTGGTGCCCTCACTTGTGGCAGAGTTAATCGATAAATTATTATTTACGGATTATATAGTAAACTTCAAATTATCATTTCCAAGTCATTATTTGCCATGTAATTAGTTATTGTTACGAATATTTCTTTCTTATTGTTGGTGAGATCAATGCGAAGAAAAAATCATGTAAATTCACAATTTTTACAAATTTCAATAGTGAAACACCTAAAGACGATGTCGATTTCTTCTTTTTTGTAGTATTGACCACCCAATACCCGTCTGCACCTGGAATCCACCCCTCCCTCCACAACCTAGCACACTGAGCGAACCAAGGACCGTTACCTTTCCCCAGAAATCTAGTTTTCTCCCTTTTTGAGTACATTTTTTTTAAGGGTTTTAAATTAGTTAGCATTGATTTTTGTAGACTCCTCCGGTTTGGTGATTCCGGTTGAAGATCACCTGGCGCCCATAGATTTTTACATTTTTGAGTTTAATTAGATTCAGGGAGAGAAGGGCGAAGGTAATAGGCATTTTTAACCCCCATGAAAAATGTCACGTTACAGTCCTCTTCGAGATCCTCATCATCCGCCTTTGCGGCGTACCAACTTTTGAAGGCCTTGAGGAAGTTCTTCCACGTCTTCCAGTACTTCTTATTAATTCTGTACCAGATTAGGGGTCTTCCTTCGAGAACTTCAGGCAAGACTCCTAGTTTCTCAGACCCACAGATATCAGCAGACTCGAGTCTTTCTGTGATCTGATCCATGAATTCGTCTGGACTCAATTCCTCGGTATTCCTGAAGGTCAGCTTCCATTTCCTCGCCATGTCATCGATGTCTCTGCGTTTCTTCGCCCTCTTCTTGTCCTTGGTTTGATTCCATTTTTTCATTTTTTTTTCAGCTTTTTCATTCTGATCGTCTCCTCATCTTCACTGAATGAATCGGTGGATTCTACACTGGAGAGGTCGCATTCCGATTCCTCGGAGCTCGAGCTTGAGGATACTTCCTGCCGAGTTTTCGTTTTCCTCGACTTTTTGGTTTCTCCTTGCGCCTGCTGTTGCTTCCTGCAGATTTTTCTCTCCTGTCTGTTCTCTTCTTCGACGTCAGCTGTTCCTCTTCCGAACTGCTGGTCGAATCTTCAGATTCGACTGGTGATACTATTTCTGCCTCGTCGTCCTCTTCATCACAACGAGTGGAGCTGATTTTTGGCTTATTCTGCTCATTCTTCGGCTTCTGAGGAAAGGAGACTTCTTTCCTCTTCGGAGTCTTCTTTTCTTTTCATTCCTCTTTTTCATTCTTCTTATTTCTTCTTTTTCTGGAGGCTTCATCGTCTTCACCAGATGATTCTGAGTCGGACTCTCCAGAGCTCGAGCTTGTAGATACTATCTGATGAATTTTCCTCCTCTTCGTTTTCTTGGATATCTCCCTGTGCCTTCGGCCCCCTCGTACAGAATGTTCTCTTCCACGGAATTTCCTCTCCATTTTTCGCTTCTCTGATGATTTTCTATCAGAGATACCACTACTTGGGTCTTCAGTTCTTTCCGGCGGTGTTCGTTCTTCCAATTCTCCTCTATCGGAAGTCCTACTATTCGCCTCCTCGGATGATACTACTTCTACCTCGACTGCATCTTCCTGGCATCGAGTGGAGTGGCCTCGAGGCTCATTTCGCATGGTTCCTTTCAAATCTTTTGGGGGTGAAACGTCTTCTTTGTGGTCTCTCCCCGAGATTCTAGATTCCTCTCTCTTCTTCTGGCTGAATGAAACATCTCCGTGATCCTCCTTGGCCTGAGTCTTCGAATCCAGGCTATGGAATAACTCATTTAGAGTCGGGTCAAAGAATCTCCAGTCTTCACAGATTTTCCTGATGAACTTCTCCCAACTCTCCGATGAACAGTTCCCATGGACCTAGTACCTGTAGGCTTGAAGCCTCATCGATGTGAGAAACACCATCGCTGGTTCACCCATGAGTTGTTTTCTTCGTATTGCGAAGGATTTCTCTGTACTCGAGTTATCCATCTCGAAGAAATTCTTTCAATTCTCGCAATCTCAGTGACTCTTCAAACTCGAGTTATTCAGTCACGCGGCATCAGATATTTTAATGAAGTTTCACTCGAGTGCGGGGTTGAGAATCACTGAAGAATTTTCCGGAGAAGACATTTTATTCCTCCTCAAACGCCCTCCGATGCGTTTGCTGTTGCTGAAACGCAGCTTGATAGTCCTTTGTTGCTGATGTCAATGAATCTGATCTTATCATCAACTGTTCTTAACGTCCCACGATGCTTTTCTCGAGGATACGTCCAATATTTTTACGAGAGAGTGTTGGACAGCTTTTTCCCGTTTTAACATTCTAAAAAATCTCGAAAATTTATTTAATTCGTTAGATGTTGTATTTCATTACTTTTTAAATCCTATTTCTTCCTGAATGTTCGATACTTGATTTCCACCATAGTGGCAATTGTCTGCGGGTCTAAATTATTCACGACGGAAAAATGAAATATTTTCTAATTATGTAATTCCACGGTTCTTTACGTGGCGTGGCGTCATGCCGCGAGTTATCCCCGATTTCAATTACTTATGGCAAAAAACTCGAACGAAGTTATAAAAAACTTGAATTTTTATTCCGAATTACCAAAAATGCTTTCAGATGTTTTTTTAAATTTCCATTTTCATTAATTTTATTCTTTAATTTTCTTTAGGGTTTTCTAAGCCCTCAATTCCCAAACTCGCATCCCCATAAGGGATGCCAATTGTGATGGACTGACCGTTGAGGGCTCAAAGCCAGGCCACAAGATGTATTTACTCTTGTCTCTGAATTGTGAATTCCGTAATTTTTACTGAACATTTCCCTCCGTGTATAACAGGGAGTTGCGCACCTGTTCATGGCGATGCAACGCAATTGCGTCCCTTGATGATACTTCAATTGTGTGGGACTATCAACACTACTCTCTTTCAAAAACCCAGATGAAAAACACAAAAAAGAGAGATTTAATTACAAATAATTCATTTGATATCAGAAGCCGCAGTAGCTGCTTGTGCCATGTGTATGCGCAAGGTCTGGCTCACGGCTTCTATACATTTAGTTTTTGAGCTATTTTTTTCATCTCTTTTTCTCCATCATGAACGTTGGAGAAAAAATCCATGCGGATGGATTTTTATAGATGTTTCTCATTAATATGATCGATAATATTTTCATTAATATTTCTCATTAAAAAAATTATTTGTGCCTAGACAAGCCTACTTTTCCCGATTTCTCTAAAAAATTAAATGGGTGAGACATTTTGTTATTATGTTGCCACCTCTGCGTTTCTTTTCTTTCCGAAAATAAGTTCTGAGGTTGGCACCGCTTGAAACGTGGGAACGGGTGGAATGGGACGTAACGTTAGTCCACAACGACCGGCATCCACCATCACGTGTTGCACAATGGGGAGTGATGATGGAATTTTGTATTTCCGAAAGGATTCCAATGGCTCAATGGACAAAAATCAGGTAAATACATGCACTCTTCTTCATCAGTTATTGTTATTTGTATCGTGTAATAATCATTGTGCATTAAATTTTATCATATGTGTCCCCGCGTATCCTGACTAACCTAGTCGTTTGTTTTTTTTTCATGAGTGAAACGAAACCGGAAATTGCGTGTGAGGGGAAAAATCTGTGAACGAAAACTTAAAAAGAACTTTTAAAAAATAATAAAAATGGGAATATAAACTTGAGAAGTAAAATAAAAATCCTGAATTCATCCTCAAAATAAACCACCCTACAAAAAGCAAAACCTGACAACAATGAAATAAAATCCTAAAAATAAAATATATAACCTACAAAATTAATCTGAGAAAAATGCGAGAATTATGAAAAGGAGAGAGCATAGACGTATAAAACAACCTCAAAAAAAGGAAAGCCTGAAAAAATAAGAAAAATGCTCATAAATAAAATGTATCAAGCACCCTAAAAAAAAAATCTGAAAAATACAAGAATTATGAAAAGCAAAGAGAAAAAAACGTATGAATCAACCTGAAAAAAGAGCGAAACCTGAAAAAATACAAGAATATGAATAAACCAAAAAAAAGCAAAAGTTAAAAAGTGAAATGAAATCCTGAAGTCCTTAAAATCGCTGAGATCCTCGGAATTGAAATCTTGAAATCCTTAAAACCCTGGAGGAAGCAAAACCTGAAAAAAATAGAAGAATTCTGGAATAGGAGAGAAAATAAAGCTTACCTAAAAAAAACTGAAAAGTAAAATAGAAATCTTGAAAAGAAACCACCCTTAAAAAAAGCAAAACCTCAAAGATTAAAAAAATTCCTAAAAACAAACTATGTAATGCACCCTAGAAAAAAAACAAATCTGAAGAAATAGAAGAATCCTGCAAAAGGAGAGAGAATGAAACGTATGAAAAAAAAACTTAAAGAGAAACCTAAAGAGTAAAACGAAAATCCTGAAATCCTGATAATAAACTACTCTAAAAAAATCAAAGCCTGAAAGAATAAAAAAAAACCACATAAATAAAATGTAAAGCACCCTACAAAAAAGTGAAACTAGAAAATACAAGAATTATGAAAAGGAGAGAGAAACGAATGTATGAATCAACCTAAGAAAATAAAAAACCTGAAGAATGGAATAAAATTTCTGAAACCCTTAAAATGAGAATCCTGAAATCGTTAAAACCCTGGAATAAAAGCCGAACCTGAAAAAAAAATAGAAGAATCCTGAAAAAGGGGAAAAAAACGTATGAAGCAACCTAAAAAAAAACCTAAGAAGTAAAATAGAAATCCTGAAATCCTGAAAATAAACCACCCTAAAAGAAGCAAAACCTGGAAAAATTAAAAAATAAAAGATCATTTAAAGCTGCAGATAACAATGCAAAACAATATTGAAACCTACAAAATCAATACAAGAAAAGTTGAGACTAATATTTTACTTCATTTTTCATTTTGACTTTTCAAAGAGAGAAAAACGAGGCGAAAAGGGTCGCTGCGATGAGAGCCAAATTAGAGTTGCTGAGAGGAAAGGTTAAGGGAATGGGACACAGAGGAGCAAGATCGGTAGAAGACCATGGACAGGAAAGGAATGAAGAGCAAAATAAGGATAGAAGAAGGAAGGAGAAGGAAGGAGCAAATCCCAGCAGCTCAGGCACTCAAAGAAAAAGAAACAGTGGAGGGATGAATGATCATCAGAATGCAGGTGGAGAAGGAAACGAGCAGAGTAACAACAGGGAGGAAAAGGAGAACACTAAGGCTCACAGGAATAGGGGAGGAATGCGTCAATCGGAAAGGGATGCAATGTAAGATTTCTCGATTTTTTGTGGATCGTTTTTCTAGTAATCATAAGAAATCAAAGATAATAATTTTCAATTCTGGGTTTCGGTGTGTTTTAGGTACTGGAGAACGGAGTACAAAAAATTGAAAAGGATGTTGGAGGAAAGAGAGGAGAAAGTCGAAGGAAATGCGTCGAGCACGCATTCAAGAGACGGAATGAGGGGAGACAGCGGACGAGACGCTTGGGGAGGGGGTAGAGGATATGGACCAACTTCAGGATGGAATCGAGGCCTGTCGTATGCAGAAAACGTGAGAGGTCAAGGGTATCAAGGGAAGCGTGTACGAGGGTATCAGAGGCGTGAAGGACGAGGGAATCAAAGCGGGGGAGGAGGGCAAGGATACCAAAGAGGGAGAGGAGGGCAGGGATACCAAAGAGGGAGAGGAAAGCAGGGATACCAAAATGGCAGAGGATATGAAAAAGGACAATGGATTCAGGGGAAGGACAGAAATTTGGCAATAATAAACATAAACTAAAAACGACAAGATTAAAAAAAACAAATATTTAATTATTCAAACTAATATATGAGAACTTCTGACTAAAAACTAAAAACTAAAAACTACGTACTTATAACTAAAGAAAGGCTGAAAAAAAGGCTGAAAAAGAAGGTATTATTATAGAATAATTATCTCATTTGTTACGTGAAGCATTACGATAATCTCAAGTTCAAGAAGTTTAAATACAAAAATATGAAAATAAAAGTTACCAAATATAATTTAAAACAATTTTGTAATTTGCCAATAAGGAATAAAAAATATATGAAAAATTATTCTTTGTTAATCAATTGTCATCCATTCCTATTCCCCCACCGAATTGTGCACATACAAGCATTTTCTTGAATTTTCTAAAAACTTCTTCAATATTCACGAATTTCCTAGAATTATTTATAATATCCTGCACTTACAAGTAAGGTGGTTTAGCACCTCAAGGGCAACTTAACTATTCCCTAGAATAAAATATCTAGACGAAAATCAACACACAACAATTTTCGTCTCAAGTAGCCCTCTGGTGGCCGCTCCACTGCCCTACGATGAGTGCTTTGAGAATTGGACCTAAGCATTGGCTGCAATTGTTTTCCGGTGTCTGCATTCTCACCTGTCAAATCATTCAGGAGAAGTGTATTTTAACGTGTTTTCGTGCGTTTCCCCTTTTCTGTGGAATCATTCTTGTGTTTTCTTTGATCTGAATCTCTATTTTTTATCTTCTCCTTGCTTTTTTGTTCATTCTTTACGATTTTCTGACGTTTCCTTGATTTTTCTCCTTTCCTCTTCATCATAACGTTTTTTCAAGTGTCTGCATTCTTACCTTCCAAATCATTTGAAAAAAGTGTATTTTCACGTGTTTTCATACGTTTCCCTTTCCTGTGGAATTATTCTTCTGTATTCTTTGATCTGTACTTCTACTTTTCATTTTCTTCCTACTTTTTTGTCTATTCTTGACGATTTTTTTCGTCGTTTCGTTGATTTTTCTTTTTCTCTCTTCCTCATCATCTCTTTGTACAGTGACGTAATTTACCGCTACGGGAGACGATGCTAAATACGTTGCCCTCGGCGACCCATTTACCAAAAACAAAGTTGGGCGCCAGCACGTCTAAAACGTACAAAATTATCGAATTCCAAAAAATCCGCAAAACCAGGTGGAGACCGGCAAACTCAGCATCAACCGCGGAAGCGTCTGGGTCCTCTCAAAACCACCTGAACGAATAC